GGGTTTAGGGGTTTAGGGTTCGGATTTAGGGTTCACGGGTTTAGGGTTTAAGCAAAGACAAAGACCTTATCAAGACAACAACTGCGGAACAAAACAGTCATCGATTCACTAGGGTCTTGCTAAAGTCGAGAACCCCGTAGTGGTACCAACTTCCACAGACCTTCATCGTTAACCTCGAGCACCCCGTTGCGATATTATCTTTAACAATCTCCATCCACTCGCTAGGCTGTACCTAAAGTCAAAAGCCTCGTCGTGATACCAACTTGAAAAACCTTCTCATCCCTTGCCCAGAACCTCTAAGCCTTCATAAACTCACTGTGTGGTTAAAGTTGCGCGCCCCATCACTGCCCATGATGGTGTATCAAGTGAGTGAAGCGATGCGCCCAAGAATCTGAAACACTCAGCTCCAAACAGTATCCAAAAAGGTGCACGAATCACCGTGAACCGGAACACTCTTATGTATTCTGCGGTCCATGACATCTTCTCCTATAGGCTCCCTGAAGCCCATAGACAAAGTTGCAAGCCATCATGTTGCTATTTCATGTAGACTCTCCAAAGTGATTCTTCTCACTGGTTACTAAGATACTATGTGTGTTGTTTCACATAGGGTTTTCTCTAATTATGCTAGAATAACCAAGGAGGAAGTGCAGAGGAGAGGATCGGAATGTTCGTCCGTTGCCCGCAACCTCCAAACCGTAGTATGCACTTAGCATATAGTTTATATGTGTTATGTGTGTTCGTATGTCTGTATGTGTTTGTTTGTATCAGTGTGGTGTCTTGATATCAAACCCAAATGCGACTTCAAGTGACGTTTCTTGGGTCGAGAACAGCCCTTGATCTTAAATCTAAACCCGCAACCCTCGGCCCTCAATCCTAATTTAACACTAAACCCTAAACCCTGAACTCTGGCGCCAGGCTCATCGACATCGGCATCTTTCGCCTCAGTCACCCGGAAGCGGGCACGACTGGAAGTCATGCCCTTGAGTAGCACGGCGGAGACTCTTATCGAGAAGGTTGGTCGAGGGGAACTTCATGTTTCTGCTGCTCAAGACATGGCAGCTTCCATGGCAGAGGAAGCTGCGAGCCAGGGTGCTATCATACTAGCTTTGCAAGCGCTCGGGTCGCTGGGAGGTGGGCATTCAGGAAATGTTGAACGCGACTGGAACCGTTGGTTGCGAAGCTTGTATGGTTTCAAGCTAGATCCGTACAAGCTCAGCTTTGACTTGAAAGTTCCTTGTCCGGTATTTCATTAACTACAACAAGACAACAAGAACAACATCAAGCCTTGTAACAGTATACATTGCCTGGCTCTTTTTACTTAGGGCATCCGCTTTGGGATCGTTCGTGGTCGGACCGAGAAAGCCGTTTGCAGGGTTCACAGTGACGAGGACAGTGACACCACCAGCACCAGCAGCAGCACCACCACCACCACAGCACCACCACCAGAACCATGACAACGCAGTACTGCTAGCAACTGCTAGTAAGGGTAGCAACAACAGCAGGACTGGTTGTCTGGTTTTTGACTGTTCTCATGCTGGTTGTTGTGGTGGGTCGTATAATTATTACTACCGCCAAATATAAAACTACTAATGCTACTCCTGATCCTGCTGCTGCTGAGCCCCTGAACTTTGCAAGGTCAATAATTCCCGGGACCTCAAGAGTGTGATGGTGTCCTGCCTTTTGCCTCACGAAATTCTTCATGCCCTTTCTTGTCAATCGAGTGTTTTCGAAACAGTTGTTATGGGCAACCGAAGTGGTAAAGCAATCAGCGAGTTTTGGGGTCGTATAAAACAGCTGGAGCCGTGGCGAGCGCATCCTATTTGGGATGCCTGTTCAGCTGACGATCTGAAGAGCTTGGTCGGCCTGAACATTCATATCGATGGAGCCGAGTTTTACAGAGACGACGAGTTTTGGGTTTACAGCATGTCTTCTGTTTTCGCAGGAAATGGCATGATCTCGGATGTTCTGTTGTACAAGTTTCCAATTGCAATCTTCGCAGAGCGAGATATGGACAAGGAGGTGAAGAAACCCAATCCCACTTCCATAGCGCCCTCTAGCTGTCTAGATGTTCTTTCTGTCTAGCTGTGCCCCAGAGTTTGGTTTAGGTTTTAGGGTTTATGGGGTAAGTTTCGGGATAGCATCTTAGTAAAGACATCGCCCCATGAAGGTTAAATCTGCGGTGAACAGACGAGTCGCTAAGCTGGTGGCGTGGAGCTTGGAGTGCGCTCAGCGAGGCGTCGGGCCTCGGACCGGGTTCGAAGGTGAGAACTTTCCCGAAGACTCCTACCGAGCAGCTATGGCAGATAAACCTCTTTGTCAAGGCCGAAAGACCCTGCATTGACAGTTTTAGAATACGTTGCGTTTTGATTTTATAAGGAGTACATCTGCCTGGGGTTCACACTCTTTCATTTAAACAAGCAATGCTCAGGGCCATGTACTTCGGTATGAAGGCGGATCTCAAGGCCAGAAAGGTGAACGAATTCAGGAATTGGTACCAATGCACACGGAGCCCTGGTTTGGAGAACTCTTTATTGTTTTTAGAGCTATAGTAACCACTGACATTGTGACATATCTTAATTTCCAATCAAATTCGTGGTCTGTAATACTGGAAACCATCACCCTAAACCCTAAACCCTAAACCGAAGGCTGTGCGAAAGCTGCCTTGCAGAGAAGCCTGCCAAGAGAAACAACCCTGGAATGGATTTTCGCAACCTCCAGGCCGAGGCCCCCTACTTCTACACAAGACTGAACCACGAGCAGTTCTTGAAATTCGACCGTGCTCCGCCATGGTCTTGTGTGCCTGGTTTTCGCATCGAAACAGTATCCTTGGATTTCATGCACAATGTTTATCTGGGTCTGGGGAGAGATGTGGTGTCGAGTTCTTTGGGAATGCTTCTACTGGCCGGTGTGTATGACAAGTACGGGAGGACTGCAGAAGAGAAACTCCAAGGAGTCTGGGAGCAGATGCGGTCCGACTGTCAGCGGCATGGGTGCCTGACGTAGATTAAAGCCCGTAAGCGACAGCTGTAAACTGAACATCCCGGCCCCCATGAACCTGGAAGCAAAAGCATTATGTGACAGATAGCAGGCCGATAGTTGCGACTGGAATTAGAAGCAGTAGCCTGTTTGCCAGAACGTATACCCGGCATACAATCTCTAAACTCTAAGTCCCTATATAAACCTTAAGCCTGAAGCTCTACCTGTAGTCTCCACTGTAGTTCCTTTTTTTGGTTTAACCAATTATATAATAAGGATCTTTTAAGGTATCCCCAAAAAGGAACTACAATGGAGACTTTAGGTGGGCTTCTTGAAAAACCCCAAACCTTAAGCCCTAAACCCTATAAGCCCTAAAAATCGAAACCCCTAAATCCACTGCCAATGTTGGGCATCCCAAATTGCTTAGGATTCACATCTGCAAACCCGGCTTTACGCTTGCGAACACACACCTGGATGGTGAAGGCTACGCTGAGCTTGGAAGTCGTTTCAAAGCAGCGAACGTGAAGAACATGTTATGGTGGCTGTGTCGCGAGACGCGGCGAGTTGCCGATGAACTAGCGGACCGCCCTGTGCAAGTGCTGGCTACTCTCTGTTGGGCCTTGCAGCGCTGCATCGAGCTCATGGATTCGGCAGACCTTCTTTTCAACGATGACGATGCTTTTGAGGCTTCGCGGTGTTTGTTTTTGTTCCTTGAATGTTATCAATGGCTTGCTTGCGACGCAAGCCAAAAAAGTCTTTTGTTCTTCAACCTTCGACCCAAGTGTCACTGCTTGTGGCACACGGCTCACAACATTCGTGAGCTCAAGATAAACCCGCGAGTATTTCAAAACTTTGATGATGAGAGTTTCTTGGGGAAGATCAAAATGATCGCCTGTAAATGCCACGGAAAAACCATGACCCACCGTGTCTATGAAAGGTACATACTGGTGCTTGCGCTTTTCGTTGAGCGAATGCGGCGCAATTGCAAATTTGCCTCATAGTGCAGAGTAGTTTTCGGGCAGCACAGGTGTGCGGGGCGCGCCAAGGGTTTTCAGCTTGGTGAAGTAGCAAAGGGTATATACTTCAACGCTACCTTCACTGACCTATATAAGGTTGTGCAGGCTAGTCGCAACTTTGACTTATAAGTAGCAGGGTTTGATTCTATATTACCCTATTCGGTATGAATCCCCTTGGCCCTTTATACCACACCGGCCACCCTGAGCCTAATTCGGAAACACTCCGGTCTGGGGAACCCGGCATTTCAGAAGTCGACCGATGGCGGACAATTTGCTGCTCGGGAGGGCAAGGTTCTGCATCGTTGGAAAGCTAGAAAGACTTATAGGGAATACTCTAAATAGCAGTTGTATGTGGATGGTTCTTATGCTAGAAGCTAGCAACGGTACTATATACTTACATAAGTCTTTTGTGCTTCCAAAGATGCGGAACCGGAATTAAGGGTGGCGAGCTGAAGTCTTTAGCTTGCAATGGTTGCTTTTGACATCCTCTATTTGTGAACCTTATCACTATAGGTCCCTGAATATCAAGCAGGAGTCATGCTCATGGATTTGAGCAAAATCTCGGGGCAGCTTTCAAGTATAGGATTGCAGAGAGCTGCCAGTTCCTCAAAGCTCCAGCTTCACCGTCCTCCTTAATTAAACCCTAAACCCGCCGCCCCAGCACCCTAAACCCGACAGCATTGTAGCCTCGTCCTGAAACCCTAAATCCCGGCCCTAAAGCTTATAAGCCCTACCTTGATCTCCCCACTTCTTCCTTGGACCGTAAACTGCACACCCAAACTTTGCATACACCCTCAAACCCCGAACCCCGGCCCTAAGTTCCTTACATTCGTGTGGCTCAAGCGTTTCATGAATGCATCGTTGCAGCTCAAGTCTGCAAACAAGAAAAAAGACCCTAAAGCCCTAAAGCCCCTATGATATTTCTTTGTGTGGCTCAAGATGCCTGTATATAGTGCCTGGCTCAAGCGTGTTATACACCGAATGATTGGATCTTGCACGTCAGCTCCCATCGCTTCCGTTCCCAAGGAAGTTTTGTCATGGCGAAGGCATATAGCATGCACCAGCATGCTGTATACGGCCCCATGCACCAGACCAGGTTGCACGAGCAACGCAGCACGCTGCAGAGAAAACACGTTTAAACGCAAACAGACCAGGTTGCACACCCAACGCAGCACGCTGCGGGGAAAATGCATGCACAAATATAAACACAATGCTTTTGCTTCTAGCTTGCAAATATATAGACAAACTATAATTCCCTTTTCTGGTTCCTGCATGCCTCCTGCAATTATAATTCAGCACAATGCATGCATTTATATGGGCTTTACAAGGCAATGTCTAAACGCAAACGGACCGGGTTGCATGCCCAACGCAGCACGCTGCTTCAAGTTTAAGCGGGCCATGCCGCCCAACGCAGCACGCTGCGGGGCAAGCACGTTTAAACGCAAACAGACCAGGTTGCACACCCAACGCAGCACGCTGCAGGCAAAATGCATGCACAAATATAAACACAAATGCTTTTGCTTTTATTGCTATATATAGAGAAACTATATAATTCCCTTTTCTGGTTCCTGCTTTATGCAATTCAGCACCAACTTATGGACTTTACAAGGCAATGTCTAAACGCAAACGGACCGGGTTGCATGCCCAACGCAGCACGCTGCGGGAAAAACACGTAAACGGACCAGGTTGGACGCACAACGCAGCACGCTGCTTCACGTTTAAACGGGCCATGCCGCCCAACGCAGCACGCTGCGGATCAAACACGTTTAAACGCAAACAGACCAGGTTGCACACCCAACGCAGCACGCTGCGGGGAAAATGCATGCACAAATATAAACACAAATGCTTTTGCTTCTGTGCTATATATAGAGAAACTATAATTCCCTTTTCTGGTTCCTGCTTTATGCAATTCAGCACCATGCCTTTTTTGGACTTTACAAGGCAATGTCTAAACGCAAACGGACCGGTTGCATGCCCAACGCAGCACGCTCCGGGAAGAACACGTAAACGGACCAGGTTGGACGCACAACGCAGCACGCTGCTTCAAGTTTAAACGGGCCTTGCTGCCCAACGCAGCACACTGCGGAGCAAACACGTTTTAACGCAGGTTGCACACCCAACGCAGCACGCTGCGGGGAAAACATCTAAACGCAAACGGACCAGGCTGCATACCCAACGCAGCACGTTGCGCTCTGGAGCATGCCGTGGTAAACATATATAAACGCAAATGCCTTTTATGAAAACTTGCTTTTGTGCTTAAAGTTTTCATGATTCTGAACACAGCACAGTTCCTTTATAAATTGGATCCTCGCCGGGGAGAGAATGCATGTATAAACGCAAACGGACCAAGTTGCATGCCCAACGCAGCACGCTGCGGGGAAAACACGTTTGGATCCAAACGGACTTGGACGCCCAACGCAGCACATGCCTCAATGCAATCGGAGCATGCACGCCCAACGCAGTACGCTGCAGGGCAAACGCATCTAAACGCATGTTTTTCATTGCATATAGCACATATGCCTTCCACATGCAGGCTCTGCAACCTTCGCCAGCCGTGTTTCTGATTGTCAGGCCGTGCAAGCAAGACTTGAGCAAGAACAGTTTGCCATGATGGCAAAGAAAATTGAATCTTCCATGGCTTTACATATGCTACCGTCATGAAATGTCATCTGAAGATATGAAGAGCTATACGCACATACGACAGCGCCGATGTACGGACCTCTTCATTTGTACGCATTAATGTCCGCAGGGCTGCGTTGGATTGTCAGGGTGGATGAGACTTTGGGAAACCCAAGC